CATGCCTGCTTTATTAAATTGGAACTTTAAGCATAGTTTTGCCTTCATATTCTGATTTGATTCTACATGGTATTTGGAACACTTACACCACGTTTCCCTTCCTATTAGCCCAAAGGTTGGCTCATGGCATCCTTCCCATGGCAACTGACAATTGTGAAGATGTACTTCACAACACAAACACAACAAACAAACATTTCTGGCTCCCACAAGTTATAAGACAGCCCTCCTGTAGAGTTAACAGCAGCCTAGCCCTTGTCCACTTTTAAGGTCTCTGGGAGAAGTGAGCTTCTAATGTATCTCCTGCCATGGAGGCATAAATGAACCAGTCATTCAACCCAAGTATTGGGACGATAGTTCGAACATACTAAGGTACAACTGACTGTCAGTGCCACCAGGCCCTCTTAGCACTCAAACTTTCTCAGCAAACTGTGTCACAGGCCAAATTACATTTTTGTGCACAGGGGCTCAGTTGCATCACATCTTCACTTTGACTCTCAAATGCCTCTGTTCAGTAGATGAGAAACGAGGGACACAAAGATCTTTTCCCCCCTGCAAATAATAATTTGTGGGTAATCCTTCCAATAGTCGAAAGAACAGTAATCCATAATGTATCCTCTGTGGATTTCCACCCACAAAACTCTTCCAAGATAAACACTTTAAAAAATATATGCTCAGAAGTCTCCTGACTGAGAGGGAGGGGGAAGACGTGGCAAATTGTCTTGTAAAGAGCTTAGTCCAGGGTTTGGTGAGACTCGGCTGGTCCTTGTCTGCTCTTTGGTCACAGCCCAAACACAGCTCTAAAGAGGCAGCCTGGTTGATATGCATTTGCCCTGGAACCCATCCATTTGGCACAGCCACTCTCTGTTGTGCTGAAGCTGCACTGAGATTTCAAGGCTGCCTGCAATTCACCTTCTGTATAAACTTTCTAAAACTGAAGATGACAAGAATGGCTGGGCTCTTTCTCTTGCTGCTGCTCTTCTGGCTTCTGCCTCCAGGCTCTGCTAAGAGGAGGCAAACTGTGTGCATGGTGGCCAAAACCTTCGAAACAAACAATGACTGTTACAGGCCTGGTGATCTCATTATTGGTGGGAATTTGCTCCTGCGAACCAGTATTGACTCCAAAGATCTAGACTTTGCAAAGCACCCATTGTTTGTTGACAATGACATTGTGTAAGTTTTGCATGCATGATAAAGATGTAGATAATTATTTGTTTTCTCACAAAATACATGTTTTAAGATCCTAAAGTAGTGCAAATCTTGTGCTTTTTTTTAAAACTGAGGAGCCAACTTCCCAAACAGAAATCTCGATAAATCCCGAACTCTTCATTAAGAAGGTGATAAACCAAACAAAGAATCA